ATATATATATGAAAAAGGCAAATCATCTATAATATTAGGGTATAGAAAATTTATTTAAAACTTACAAGTTTACATCACTCTATCTATGGTGAGAAATTCAGCCATGGCTATTACTTTTTTTTTTGTTCCAAATGCCTTCAGGGCAGGTTTGGCTGGCTCCAGTTGTGGGGATTGAACAGCAGCAACCTGAGCCTGACTGCTTGGTCGAAGCAGCCACTTAAACAACTGAGCTAAGGGGCAGGCCCCCACTATTACTTTTTAAAATGTGCAAACTCTTCTGTCCTGCAAAATTTACTACAAGGTGTTTGTAAATAGGATATCAAGTCCGCATCTTGTACAGCAATTAACCACTGGGAGGAATGTGTGCAATGTGTTAATTATTGAAACTGTCCTACCAATTTGATTTGAAACTGTCTCATTGCTATTTGTTTATTTATAAAATTATGAAAAAAAATTTAAAAAATAAAAACGAAATATAAGAAGTAAAAAAAAAAAAAAAATTTACTACAAGATACCCACATAGGAAAAATGTCCAAAAGAGGAAAGAAGATAGGGAAGGGCAGGAATGGAAATGGGAAGAGGGAGAAAATGTTAACTTCAGCCATGTTTATTTGTCTTTAAGTGAATCTAAGCACCTAAAATACCTTATTTTGCATAAGAATCATGAAAATTAAAAGAATTAACCAAAACTTACTTCAAAAAGAAAGAGAATAGAGTCCAGCTCCTCTCTTTGTGATTTATTATTCCCTGGAATATTAAAAAAAAATAATTATAACATGTAAACATTATGATGTTACAAATTGTGCTAAAAAGCATCTTATAACATTTATTCCTCATACATGCATCCATTCGCTCAGAAATACCCAAAGACAGCATGGTACATGGTGAAGAGCGCAGACATTGGGCCTGGCTAGCTGGGGGTACACATAGCAGAGCCTTGCAAAAACAGCTTCCACCTTCCCAAGCCCCGGCCAGGCATCTGCAGGCAATCTCCTTTCCCCATGAGTTACTTACCTCCTCAAGCTATGGCAGAACACCCAACAAATCAGACACGAGTTCTACCTTGGTGCTATGGTTTGTGTCTAGTTGTCCCCACAAAGCCTCATGCAATCATGGGGCAGCTTTTGGAGTCTGTGATTGATTATTGTGGGTGTGGGTGCTGCACCCGCCCTGGGGCAGGTGATACAAATATAGGCACAGAACAGTGGTAGCTACAAAAAGCAATCTTTGGCCAACTGCATAGCAACATCATTATCACCAACTATTATACCTTCAGCAGCAGTTATGATTTATTGTCTATTCTTCTAGACATTCTGCTACATATATGATTGACATCATCTAATTTAGGAGTCAACAAACTTCCCCTGTACAGGGGCAAGTAGTAAATATTTTAGGCATGCAGGCCTCTCTTAGAACCACTCAACTATGTCAGTACAATGCAGAAGCAGCTACAGGCAATACACAGGTGAATGGCTACACCCAAGTAAACTTTCTTTATAAAAACAGGCAGTGAGCCCTAAGCTCTAGGCTCCTGATCTAACTGAATCCCCACAGCGCTACAAAGTAGGTTTCATTCATTCACTGAGAAAACACTGAAGAATGTCTATATTTCAGGGAGTCTTCTAGGCCCTGAGGATATAGGAATGAATAAAAGAAACAAAAATCCCTGCCCTGAGGAAGATTCTACTGTGACAAATAAGGTGCTGCATAAATTAATAAGTAACCAAAACCAAGGGCAAAAGCAGATGGGAAAGCCAAAACTAGGTGGTGCACTATACTGACTAGGGAAGTCAGCGATGCCTTGCTGTAAGGGGGCAGCTTAGCGGAAGCCTAAGAGCTAAGGAGGGAGGCCATATGGAAACTGGGGGTCAGGAAGCAGCCATATGGACACCTGAGGGAGGTGAGTTCCAGGAAGACTAGAGGTACCAAGTCCCAGGGGCTGAATGTGGCTGGTAGGACCAGGAAATGGGCAGAAGTCCTGGTGGCTGGAGTGAAGGGCTAGACTGCAGCAGAAGAGAACAGAGGCGGGGCAGAGGAAGAGTCCTTGAAAGGACTTTGAGAATGTAAAGCTCCTTAGGATTTAGAGCCAAGGACTAGCAATTTAACTAACATTTTTAAAGCACGGTTCCAGTTACTCTTTTGAAAAGAGACTTGAGGCAGGGGAGGAAGGGAGGTTGCAAGTATAGAAGAGAGGATAGGGTCTTCCTGTGGCTACTGAGGCAGTCCAGGGGAGAATCCAAGGAGCCCCAGTGTGGTCAGTGTAGACAATGAGAGGAGACAATGGCTCTGGGTGTACAGAGAACACAGAGCCAATACTCCATGGTGGGAGCCTGAATGACTGGAAGATTGCCATTATCACAAAATGATTTCATTACTCATGAAAGGGACACATCTTACTCTTCTTGGGGGTACATTTGCTTCTCTGTATTCCAAATGAACAAAGATTATATTAAAAGCAAGAAACCTCAAAAGCCGTACCCTGCATTAATGGTATCCTCATTGTCTTCCTCCTTTCTATCACTTGAAGCTGGGATGCCATGTGACTCGCTGGCACCCATCACATCAGCAAATATGCATTTCTCTTCCACCTGTCCCACCTACTGGAAGAAAAATGGGGCTGAAGGTTGACCAACGAAGTGATATGTCATGCCTGTGTGAAGAAGCGTCTATAAAACCCCAAAGGATGGGGCGAGGGCTTCCAGAGCTGTGACTAGGAATATATCTATGTGCCTAGAGGGTGACACACCCCAACTTCAGTGGAAGGAAACACTTGCTATGGACATTTCCAGTCTCACCTAGCATCTCTTTACCTGGCTGTTCCTTTATACTCTTTAAATATCCATTGTAAAACATGGGTAAACATTTATTACAAAATGCAAATAAGCAACCTGCTCCAGCAAGTTAATCAAACCAAGGGCGGGGTCAAGGGAACCCCTCATTATGACCCTTAGGTCATGGGCACACACAACAACCCAGAGCTTGTGGAGGCCATCTGAAGCAGGGGCAGTCTGATGGCAATAACCCTGAAACCACAGGATCTGATGCTACCCCCAGGAATTCATGTCAGAACTTAATTGAGTTAGTGGGAACCAAGGTAGTGCCCGCTGGAGACTCTGCTGCTAGAATGTGGGCTGAGTGGCATGAGAAAGGAGGAAAACATTTTAGTTTATTTTTCCTAACTAAAGTAATTTCCTAAACAGATGACATGAAAATGAAAGATGAATATGGGGGCTGGAGAGATGGCTCAGTGGTCTAAAGCACCTACTTAGAACAAGCTTAGCAAAGCATCAGGGACCGCGGTTCGATCCCCCAGCACCACATGCCAGCCAGCCCCGCCCCCTGGTGGGCTGAGCTGGCCACACACACACACACACACAAATAAATAAATAAATTAAAAAAAAAAAAAAAAAAAGATGAATATGGTACTGGTAGCTAGTGCTCACTGTTCTGAAATCCTAGGATTCCTATTAACTTGTTCACTGCTGATAAGAAGAAGCCAGCCCAGAGAGGGGCGCAGTAACCCACCACAAGAGAACAGCACGATTGGTGGGGCTGCATGGGCTGTACTGCTCTCCCACCCAAATTCCCAGCAGCATCTGCACTATGACATGGTTGGCTGGCTTTTCGAAGAATATGTTTTATATGGGCACAAGCGTGAACATACGTAAGCAGAACACATTAATAACACATAGGGAAGGAAAACAAAGGGCTCTTTCAAAGTGGCTGCCTCTGCAAAGCAGGACTGGGGTCTGGGCAGAGCCATAGTTCAGTTTTCCACTCTTTTAACATGGTCCGGTGGGCTCGAATCACCGGTGGGACAAACACCACTGTCTCAGAAGGCAGTTTGTACCTCCCACGGGACTGTCTCTCGTCACCTGATGGGACAGCCATTCATGTACCAACCATGGTCCTGAGCCACCTGGCAGTGAGATGAATTATGGCCCTGTCCTGAATATGTTAGTGGAACTTAAACTTTTGAACAGTGTGCACTGATTACTTTTCTCTAAGTAAATCATTGCTCTAGAACTTATGCCTTTTGCAGTCTCCTGTTTTCCCATTAGCCATTTATTATTCAGTTAACACCTGCACAAGCAAATGCTCAAGGGAAATAAGCCAAGCAGTCCACTGTGACCTCAGCTTTGCTAACGGCCTGAGAGAAAGTAAGCTGAACAACGCAGAATTTGTGATCCATTATGCAAATAACTTCGAGAATGACCCAAATATTCTTTTAAAAAATTGTAAAAATGCTTACCTTTTAATTTTAAACTATTTTCCAGTGTTATAAAATTTTCATAGAAGATGAAATATATCTGAGAATAGTGGGTCTCAAAAAATGGCTTAAGATCACTTGCATCCACATTATCTGAAAAGAAAAAGGTTTTGTTTACACAATTATCAGAATTCAGAAGCAATCTTTTCACAAAAGAGAAAATATCCCCTTGTAAGACAAAAGCAAACCATATTCCCACTTGTCGTCCTCAGTACAAGTTCTGAACTGCACCAGAGCACTTCACCCACAGGGTGGTCAGGAAGCTGGGGACAAGGACACTCCTCAAGGGCACTGGGGGCTGGGGCTTGAGGAGGAGGCAACTCGGACACAGGCCTTGCACAGCAAAGCGTCTGTAACTCTGGAAAGCAGCTGGGCTGTAAAGGTCCCCATGGACCAATCTCTCTTCACTGACCACCAACACAACTCCCTGGGTAGAAAAGGGACCCAAGCTCAGGTGACCACACACGTGTTCCCAGTACATCTACCCAGCAATATCTCCCCAGGTCCACATGGCTCCTTTCCTCCAAGCTCAGATGACCTGTCCCTGCTCCTGCTCAGAACCATGAAGCCTGCCATGGGTTCCTAGAGTTGTCTCTGTCACACCACACAGTTGTGTTGGGACCAGAACTGCAGGGGGCCTAAACCAGTACCAATACCACCGAGTGAGCAGCAACATGGTACTTCTTCCCAGGCCCTGGTCAGCTCTGCAAACCTCACAACTCTGGGGGTTAGAGTAGCTTCCACTGTCAACATATGCTTGTCTGTTTTCTCAGCTAACATGGTGGCTGTGCCAATTACAGAGTTCTGAGGAAGAATCGATGCTTTGGAGGAATATACTAGTTATGGAAGGAAAATTAAAAACATCTTTCAAATTCTAAAAAGAGATCCTTAAAAAATGTGTTGCTCTTCATTCTGTAAGAAAGTCATATAAACTGCTTTTGCAGTTCTAAAACAGTGAATATATGAGTGCACACCCATTGCTATTCTATAATATAGTAGTTCAAATTCTGTAATACAGATGGATTGAAAGCACCATTTTCCTTTGGTTACCACAGAAGGGTCTTTCATTCAAAAATCTGTCTAGTTCTGTGAAATAATGCACAGAAGTTACTTATAAAGTCATATGAGGCACCAATTTCACATTATATTTATTGCACCAAGGTAAAACTGAGCACAGACCAGTGGAAATTCCTGATTAAAAAACAAATCTACCTGTGTAAAAGCAGGTAACAATGAATCCAGCATCATCAACAGCACAAATATGTCCTACACCTTCCTGCCAAGGACTCCTCAAGGCCTGTGTGCAGACTCTGCCAGGTGCAAAGGTTTTGTACATCTAAGTCCAGTGCAAACTGCTATTCTACGCAACACTAACCACTATCTCTTCCTGAAATACACCAAGCCCAGTCAACTCCTAACCACCTGCTGTACAGCCTCCCTTCAGTGCCCCAAGACACTCAGAATCCAGGCACTATACACAGAGAACACCAAGGAGCCACACTGAAGACTGAGGTACTCTTAGAAAGCCAGGAGTCCAGGTGACAATCACCTTCCCCGTAGCCACTCAATACTTTCCACAAAGGTGAGGCACAGATGGTGGCTGCAGGTATGGCTCCAGCATGCTTCAGGGCCTGGGCCTGGTCTCCAGCACCTCGACAGCACTCAGGGGACCCCACACAGCATGGAGCAGGGCAACATGGAAGCAGGCTCCAATTCTCTACAAGTCTGAGAACTCCCCACATTTCCAGGGTCCTCGCACCCCCACGGCATGCAGCTGATTGGAATACCCCATTTATTTATACATCTCCTCCTGTTTGACACCCCCACCTAAGGATAACCTGCAGGAGGGCCGCAGCCCTATCTGCTTCATTCACTCCAGCATCTCCAGCTCTAAAACAGAGCCTGATACCTAGAAAGTGCTCAACACTAACGTGTTACATGAAGACTGAGATTAAATGCCAAAGTTTCATACCACTACTTCAAAATCCAGAATCACTTCTTGGGTGTGTGTTCTTCCAAAAACTCTTCAGAAGAATATTTACAGGTTAAGCATAAATCTTGGGTAAGACAACCCCAGGCAATGGAAGTCAGCATCCTACAAAAAGGAACCCAAGAAAGTATCAAAAGCTTGACTGTTAGCAAAGCTAACTTCAAAAATCAAAGATGGAATGGAAGGCTTTGCTGAAGTAGGGAAGTGTAACCACAGACTTTCTTCACAGAGACCTAGGGCCCATTCATGCAACATGTCTTGCCAACAAGCACTGCGCCAAGTGCTAAGAAATGGCAAATGAAAAAGACCCAAGGGCATAAAGGGTGCGCCAGGGAAGAGGCAACAGTACTAAGGCCCTGTGGCTAAGCTCATGTTGGCTCAAAGCAGGGAAGGGACAACCATGCAGGGAGGTGGGAATACAAGGCCACACATCTAGGTCAGTTATTATCATGTGGGTTAGATGTGCTTAAGAGTAAGAACCCCTATGGTCAGGGCCTCGGGACCTGTCTGAGAGACGCATCCAGCTGGCTGGGGCTTCTCTGAGCCAAACCCAGAGCCACATCAAATGGGAACAAATCAATGCCAGAGATCAGATCAGGAATTTAAGCCAAATGAATCATTACCTTGGGGACAAGAAGGAGAGACAGAGAAAAATGAGCAGGAGGGAGAAGCCAGAGAAAAGAAGGGCAGAGAGGCAGTAGGCAGGTGAGCTCACCTAGCTTCAGGTGGCAAGGGAGGACTGGAGAGGGCACATGTCCAGGTGGTTCCTGGGTTCTTAGTATCTGGCAGGGAAGCCAGCATGGTGCCCTACTATCACTGCAAAACTCAAAGAAGCACATCAGATTAACCACAGGGAAACAAGTGGCTGATACCTAGCCGCACTAAGAGTCATTTCCTTTTTTTTTTTTTTTTTTTTCTTCACTGCTGGGGATTGAACCCAGAGCCTTCACAGAGCTGCATTCCCAGCCCTTTTTGTACTGAATTGTGAGACAAGGTCTCACTAACACTCTGAGATAACCAGGCTGGGCTCAAACTTATCGTCCTCCTGCCTCTACCTCCTGGAGTGGCAATACTAAGGGCAATGCCTGGGTTCATTCTCATTTTTGTTGTTGTTGTTGTTCTTATTGTTGTTTGTTGTGAGATGTGGTCTTGCTGTGTGGTACAGACCAGTGTAGAATGCACTATGTAGCCCAGGCTGGCCTGGAACTCACCACAATCCTCCTATCTCAGCCTCCTTGAGTACTGAGACTATATGTATGCACCATCATGACAGGCTCATTCCCAATTTTTAAAAATATTTATTTATTTATGTATTTGGTACAGAGTCTTGCTATGCAGTTCAGACTCATAGTGATCTTCCTGTCTCAGCCTCCCCAGGCTCTGGGATTACAGCGTGTACCACCACACCTGATTTTGGGGCTGGCACAGTGTACCCAGGGTTCCAGGGCCAGTATGGCATATAATACTGGGGACAGAACTCAGATCCTTGCACTTGCCAGGCAGGCACTTACACCACTGAACTATCTCCTCAGACCCACATTCCCAATTTTTTAAAGAAATGTTCAATTATTCATTTTCTTTCACCACCAAAAGCCAGTAAACAGTTTTATTATTTTCCCATTATACCTAAATATATACCTAAATTATATACATAATATATACCTAAAAACAATGTTCTCTGTATCAGATCAAAACCACCCTTTCCCACGCCTTTGTCCACTAACCCTGTCAGTGACAATTATTTCCCTACATCTACTTGAAAAGCGGCAATAAAAGCTGAGGGAAAAAACCTTTGGAGCATACTGAGGGTCTATGTGCAGGAGTTACAGGACCACAGATAAGCTAGTAAAGCACTCTCGTACTCAATTTCACCTGGAAAATGGAGCTGTCAATGGTTCCTCCCTCACAGAGCTGTTGGGATGATAAAATGAACATATGCAAAGTATACAACATGTAAATGTTATTTTCTGAAATTACTCAGCAAAGGCTATCTCACCAGGTAGGAACAACAGCCTCATCTATGAAGGTATAAAATTCAATGACTCAGAAATTCATGCACTTGGGGGCCCAGGAGATGGCTCAGTAGAATAAGCACTTCCCTGGCAAATGCAAGGGCCGGTTTAATCCCCAGTTTCAGGGAAAAAAGGAAGAAAGAAAGAAAAAAAAAAAAAAAAAAAGAAAGAAAAAGAAATTCATGCACTTCATGAGACTAACTTGTATTAAACTGCATTTAACCCCAACACAGCCCTAAACACTATCAACAAACATACCTAGGAAGCCAATGGGATTATCAATTCATCTCTTTTTACATATAAATCCATTCAATAGCAGTTCCGCTGATTTTTAGTTAGAAAGCTCCTAACACACACACACACACACACACACACACACAACCTGTTTCAGCATTCCTCAGGAAGCCCTCAGGAGATGAGAAAGTTTTCCTGGCACTTGTGCTCATGACACAGTGCTGTCATGAGGAGGATCTTGAGTTCAGCTCCCTCTACCCTGGAAGCATTGGTCTCCTGGCACCCTATCCCTCCATCCTGCCCCGCCACCCTGCCCTGGAGTTAAGAGCCATCCCAGCCCTGAACACCACAGACAAAGAGGGTGTTCCTTACTATCTTAACCAAATTCCTTGGTGATCAAAATCACAGGTCGGTGACAGGAAAAGGGATCAGTGAAGAATTAAAGGCAGACGTCACAACTTACCAAAACAGTCATTTAGAAATCCTTAGTAAGAAAAAGGAAAATTATAGTGTAATAAACCAGCCAGACACAAGGCAGAAAGTGTTGTCAAGAATGAAAATCATGGGGCTGGCGAGATGGCTCAGTGGTCTAAAAGCACCTACTTGAAGCAGGCTTGGCAGAGCACAGGGACCACGGTTCGATCCTCCAGCACCACATGCCAGCCAGCCCTGCCCCCTGGTGGGCTGAGCTGGCCACACACACACACACACACACACACTAAATAAATAAATAAATAAATGTTTAAAAAAAAAGAATGAAAATCATTAGCAGCGTATCATTACTTAAGAGGGCAGCAGGACTTTGATACTGTGTTCAAACAACTGCCTAGGCTCTGTCCTTCTTGCAATGGTTTGTA